GACAAGGGCCCGCTGTGCTCAGGAAAATGTGTTCAAAGGTGTTTAAGGGCAGTAAGGAAGTCAGCTGCCCTTCTGAGAGTCAGGGTTGTAGATCAGTGTTCCGCACACTATTGTTGCCTGTGAGAAAACTTTCAAGAGGCACGAAGGATGAGAAAAATACAGTGAATTTATTCACCTGGCTCCACATTTGCAGTCTTCCCTGAAGAACAGTCTCTTCTGCCCTTTATGTTATATATATAGGGTCTGTTAAAACAAATACTAACTGCTTTTCATTTAAAATAGGGAAAACTTGTACATCTTGAGTTGAAAGGATTTGACTGATACATGATAAGGTTTCCAGGAAGTCTGAGGGAATACGAGGTATAATAAGCATTTTCTATAAAGTCATCTTAAAGTCGTTAGGAGTTTTTGGTAAGAATCAGCGTTTTAATGTAAACCCTTAAGTTTTTTAGCTTTGTAGATCTTTTCAGATCTATTAGATTAGCATAAAGCTGAAAACTTTTTTATCTAGTAGAAATCTCTCAGTTGCAGGGGAAAAAATAGCAAATGTTTCAGTTTTTCAATAGCAAATTATAATAGATTATTAGTTTATTTTCTGTTAGAAAATAAAGCAGTTTAAACTTTTATTTCCACTCTGCAGCTTTTATTCTTTTAATGAAATGGTGGATTGCTTTATTAGCACTGTGAAGAAAATAACTTCTGCAACTTCTGAAAGAAATTTTCTGTTTTTCTCATATTAAAACAAAATGTAGTATTATATCCAAAAATGATTTTTCTAATTTTTTTTGTTTTTAATCTTTTCAATTACTCCTGTATATTCACAGTTAGGAAGAGTTTCTTTTAAGAATGCCGGTAGCATGTTATAGAAACTTTATTTAACTGGGGAATAAAAATATTGACCTCTTGATTGTCAGTAATTAAGAAGCTTAGTTTTTAAAAACTTTTAAGTGTTTAAAGGAGTTTTTCTTCCAAGATGCTTCTTCCAAGCATCTGTAGATAAGATTCCTATCTTTTCCTTGATATATTGGTAAAATTGTAAATCAAACACTGTTTTGTAGAATTTAGAAGATAGAGCTACACCTGAAGGACATTCAGTTCTAGAATTTTGTTTATACAAATACTGTAGTGATGGTTTCGTGCTGTTGGGTGTGCTCCTATGTGCAGTTTTGTCTCTAAAGTAGTCTTTACCCTAAAGTTATTCCTCTCAGATAACTTTTGACAGGTTATAGCCAAGTAATTTGGATCTTAAAAGCACTTATTTATCTGAGTATATTTATTGGTTACTTTCCTTAGTGTCTTTGGAATATCTAACCTGTAAGATTCACAATGAAATTGTAAAATTCAGATAAAGGTTTCACTGTTATTTTTTTGTTGCCTTTAATATTTTCTTGATGTGCTTTACTTTTAAGAATAAATTTTTCCATATGTCCTCTGTGTAGAGGCAGATTTTTTATACATTTAGAAGATACCACTAATCAGTGTCCTAAATTGTGGCAATAGTGAGCAGAATAAGCATATTTTGTTCTCAGTGGTGATTTAAAGTTTCAGAATTAAACTTCATATAATAGAATCAGAATTTTATAACTAAGAAGATACTTTAAAATATGCATGGTTTCAAGCCCTGATTTTTACAGGTGATAAAGCACAGGCCTATTATGACTCCTTAAGCTAGCTGCAAAGCCCCATACAAGTTGCATAGGCATGAGAATCTTGGGCAGAATTAAACCCTGCCCTAAGTTTCAAATATAGGGAACAATTAATGGTTAGTATTAGCACAAATGAAAGCAGAGAGGCTGTAATCCCATTTAGTAAAAGGCTTTTAAAAATGTTTCATCTAGGAAAAACATTATAGGAACATTTCATTTCTAGAGAAAATTTACTGTCAAGAAAATAATGATTTCTCATAACTCATTAACGCAGTATTAAGCTTGCAAAAGACAAAGTCAGTTGCAGTTTTACAAATACTTTAGTCTCTGTCACCTACAAAATGTCCCATTGCAAGCTAATATTGTAATGAAAAAACTGAAGTGTGTGTGTACAGTTGAATACTGTCCTCAGCTGGATCTCAAGGTCTTCAGGGAAAATATACTGAGTAATAATGTTTTCAGTTGCACATGATCTGCATATAAATCAGAGCATGACATATGAAACTTCATAATTATTCTCCTTTATAACCACATGTTTTGTATAAATATATATATTCTCTTAAACACATCAGTAGATATTGCTATGATATTGTGAGGTTAAACAGTCAAAAGAAAAGAAAATGATTTATTGTAAGATATTTTAAAACCTTTTGCTGATTTTATTACAGAAAATGTTCATCTTTTTTTGTTCTTTTTAGTAATGCTCATCAAAACCACTTCATATTTGTTCAGTCTTTTGTGGGGTAGAAATTTAAAAGAAATCTCAGAAGCCTCAAAGTTTTTTTATATACTTGCTTTCTGACTACTGAAATTTAAAATGTTTTCATTAATTTTCTCTTCAAAAGATAATTCTGTTAATTTCCTGTAAAACAACTCATCGTAAGACCTTTATTTTTGACAGTAAGAAGATGCAAAATGGTACAGAGTAGAACACATTTCTGAGTTAATGCCCACTGTTTGGTGTGCTGGGTGGGTGTGTATTTGTGTGCAGTGCTGAAGCGCTCTCTTCTGGTCTCTCAGCAGAAACACATCTTGCAGATGTGTTCCAGATGTTCGTTAGTTCTCAGGGTAGACTGCTGTTCTAGCTTCCTGCTGCTATGACATACTTGCTGGTAATTCAACATCACCAATTAATAAATTAGTTCATGTTATCTTTCTTTTCCTGATATCATAGAAAATTATGCTATGGTTTCTAATAGAAGAAAAGCATATTCTTAATACAGGGAAAGATAAATCAGTCTCTAACAGTTTAAGAATTCTAGTTACTTAAATTCAGCTATATAAATAACCTTAATCTTAAACCATTTAAATTAAACTTGTAAATACATCAATTATATAGTAAACCTTTTCTGAGGATTTACTTGAACAATGATAATTGTATTTTTTATAAGAATGGTATATAGTGTACTTTTAGGAAACTAGGAAGTCTTTTCCTTTTTAATAAGAAATTTAAAGTCCTGAAACCTTCAAGAGTAACATTGTAACTTTTTAAATTAAAGCACTCTTCTTGCACCTTTTAATATGCATTTTTTATTCTATAAATTTTTATATAAATGTTTAATGTGATACTAAGTTCAATCCCCTTTATACTTTGAGGGTGTTTCAGAAAATTGATATTTTGATATTAACTTCCTGAATTCTACTATGTGGTGTCTATATGATTTCTTCTTTAATGTAGAAAGTATCAGTTACTAAAAAATAGTATTTTTTTCTTGTTTGTATTTTTTAACTCTAAATTACATTAATTTTGTTTTCTTAATATTAAATTATACAAGTCTTCTTGTATTAGATATGTTTACCAAAGTAGAAATGTATATAAATAAAGCATTTATCACAGAGTTGAAACACAATAGGTGTTCAATAAATTTCTGTTTCTATAAAACCTATCTGGTAAAATTTGTGAGGATAGTACTGTATTGTATTGTATTGTAATTTCACATTGTATCATGTTAAGTGGCTCATGATAGGAGGAGCCCATGAAACAGTACACTTTTTACTGTATATTATTTATTTATTGCTTTTTTTCCTGCCTCCACCAGACTTTAAATAAGTTGAGAGCAGAAGCCTGTCTTTTTATTCATTATCTTATCCCCAGGGTCTGTATAGTTCCTGGCACATAGGAAATGTCTAATATATAACTGCACAGTGTTATTGAATAGCTAACATTACCAGTGGCATAAAATTATTTTGTAAATGTGTTTTATCTTTTACACCTGAAAACAAATCTGTAAGCTTTCAGTATTAACTTATAAAATAAGATAGGGTTTTTATTTGACTAATTTAGTATCAGTCACTCAGTACATAATGAGGGAGTTATTGCAGAAGGTCCAGTGACTGGACAGAGATAAAATATTTAATCCTTATCCCTAAGAAGATGGCAATGCTTCATGCAATAGCATTTTAAAGGAAAAGGAATGAGTAAGTCTTTTTAGGTAGAGAGGATAGAAAATAAGGCAGAAAAATGTGGAATGCATTTTCATAGGCAGAATATTTAAGAGTCCTATGCATGGTAAATACTCTGTAAGTGTTTAGTGAATTCAGCTTGTTTTGAAGATGCTCAGCCAAAGAGCTCAGAGTGGGGGGGCTCATAGGCACCTTTACGTACATACTGAAAGGCAAATTTTAGCATTTCAACTGAATGTCTTACTAACATATTTACCAACATGGGATTCCAATCCTAATAACTCTTGATACCCAATTTAGAAAAAAATATTTCCTGGTTTCTAGGATAATTTGGTATGGGATTCTGGGGATATTTTGGAATATTCCCGGACAATAAAGATAATTTCTTGACAATAATGACATGTTAGGCTTCTGGAATATTAGCAGTGTGGGGTGAAAAGGATCAAAACTAGCTTGGCTGCCATCAGGAATATAAACAAGGAAGCAAATTCCACATCCCAAAGAAAGAAAGAAATGGGATTAGGGCATTTAAATTTATGAAAGAAGCCAAAGATTTGTGCTATAAATCTGTTCCAATTAAAAGTCAGACCTCTGTGACTTCCAAGTGCCAAGTCGTTTTTCAAAAAGTGATTTCTCATGCTGATGTTAATGTTCCTAGAACATCTCTCTCCCCAGTTTTACTGAACATTCACTCTAAAATGATATATAAGTTTCACTCCATGATTTGTTACATTTCTCTGTCAAGCCAAAGTAATGGATTGGATCCTCCCAGTCTATCATGGTGAGAATGATTTTAAAAAGCTACTTGGAGGAGATTTTTTTATTTTACTTAGTAAATCCTTTATTTAAAAGAGTGAAAAAGTGAGCAAGAAATAACTCAGAGAAGCAGTTCTTTAAACCAACTAAATATGAACACATAGAACCTATAGGACTGTTCCCTCTCCCTTCCAGGTACCGCAGGCCTGCACAGTCCCATGGTGGATCTGGATAGCGATGTTCGCCCCTCAGTGTTGGCCCACCTTAGTCAGACAGCATCACTGAAGCGGGGCAGCAGCTTTCAGTCTGGTCGAGATGACAGTAAGTATATCTCTCTATGCCCACTTTGCCTTTTAAATCCCTACTTGTTTAATTTAAAACATTTTCTCTTGGAAATTTCCATAACTAGTTCTGTTACTACTGCTAAATATTATCAACTGTTGTCTCTTCTACTTATTAAGTAACTACCCAGTAATTACATTGTACATTAAATACATGCCATTTGATTTCTTAGTAAGTCTTTGGCCACAGGTCAGTATTTATTCAACATATTTAGTTAAAAGTATAGTTTTATATTTTCTGTGGTTTAATTTTTTAAAATATGCCACAGAAAAAATTCTGTCAGAATTTCAAGATTAATTTTGCAACAAAAGTAATTTCTGTTGTCATTACAGAGAAAGACATATTTTCAATGAATTTTAAACTTTTGTTTGGGAAGGACTTATTATTAATCATAAATTATTTGCTATTTTTTTCATAAGATAAGGTATCTCAAATTATAACCATGTTACCTTTTTTAATTTTGTAATGTTGATATTTACCTATTGTTTACTTATATAAAATACATTGATTATAATGTAGTGGTGTGCCAATTAGATGCTGTTAATCACTGGTATTTCTAACCTCAATAATAGAAATAAAATAATCCAAATAGAATAATAAAAATACCTTCCTTTATATTAAATTCAAATGCCTCTAAAATTTATTTGGAAGTATTTCATATTATTCTTACAAGTATTGAAGTAGGGAATTTTTTTAACATTTCATTAATAAATTTAAATAAATGGCCATTATAAGAACACCTTAAAATTAGATGATTCACTTACACTAAATGAAGGGCTTCTATTTGATATTCATTCTTCTTATCCTGTGTGCATTCTCCACCCTGTGCACCAAACAATTGGAGAAGAGAACTGTTTGCTTTTGCCTGCTGTGCTATAATGTGGCCCTGTAAACATGTAGACCTAGAGCCTGACCTTGGAGTGCAGCCCACCAGTTTTTAAAAAAAAATCCTTCCTTTTCATGTCTACACACTTTACCTCACTCCTTCTCTGTTAATGTCATTCACACCACCAGTTGATATACTAACAGGCTTAAATAAATTAGAAATTATACTTGAGACTGACTATAATGAATTACATCACCTTGAACAGTTCAAATTTATCCTGCCTGGGTTTTGTCAAGCTTCTTGGATCTATTTTATCAAATCCTGGAAATTTTTGTCAAATTTTAAAAAATTTTGGTTGTAATTTTCTCAAATGTTTTTCTGTCTGCTTCCTTTTCTGCAACTCCAGTTATGTGTATGTTAGGACAGTAGATTACCTTATAGATCACTCAGGCTCTGTCCCTCACTCCCCATCTGTGTTTCTTTAGTGTCAGTTGCTAAGCTTTCAACTACTTTAATCTTTTATCTGCAGTGTCTTAACCTAAAAAATGTCACATACTGTATTTTTCATCTCTAGAAGTTCCATTTGGTTCTTTTAACTATCTTCCCTTTCATTATTTTCATTTATTATTTTAACATTGCCATTACTGGATGATTCTGTCATCTCCACTATTTCTGGATCTGTTACTATTGAGTAGTTTTTCTTCTGGTTTCTGGTTGTGGTTCACATTTCCTTGCCTTTCGGCATGGCTAATCATTTCAGTTTTTTTATTGTTTCCCAGACTCTGTGACTATCCAATGTTGAGTGTCAGGGTTTTGTTGCCTTGCTTTAAAGAATGCTGGACTTGGTTTTACCAGTTGCTTACAGTAAGTTTGACCTATTCAAGGCCTGCGTAAGTTGCTAGAGCAAGTCTAGAGTTACCTTCATTCTAGGGAAACTTCAGCTCTACTACTGAGGTATGATCTCTTGGATCGCCACTGAATGAGCCAAGTAATTAATGAGGATTGTTCCTTCAGGCTAAGAGCTCTGGGAATCTTGATCTTACACTATGTATGCATGACCTAATAACTCAATAAAGACTTAAGATGACTCTTATGCAGATTTTTGGAGCTTGGTTTTGCTACTTTGCATAATTCTCCCCTGCATTTCCCATTCACCTCCTTGAAATTCATCTTTCTAACTCAGAAAGGCCACTGAGCTTTGTTTAGGTTACTCCTCCCTTTACCTTGTCTAGAAATTGCCTGCAGGCAGAAAATCAAGGCAAATGTGGACTCACCACCCGTTTCCCTTTTCTGTTGTTCAGTGTCTCAAAACAGTTGTTTATAAA